GTGGCATCAGGATTGGTGGGAGAATCATCAACAACCTGCGTTATGCAGATGACACAACTCCACTTGCTAAAACTGAGGAAGACCTGAAGCACTTGTTGCAGAAGATTAAGGACTGCAGCCTTCAATATGAATTGAAGCTCAACACTAAGAAAAAAAAGATTCTCACCCTGGGCCAATTGACAGTAGTATGATGGATAGTGAATGTATTGAGATTATTAAAAGCTTTAGTGTGCTTGGCTCAATAATCAACATTCTTGGTACCAGGAGTCAGGAAATCAAGAGATGTATTGCATTGAGAAAGTCAGCTCTCAGGGAGCTCTCTACAGTACTGAAGAACAGTATGTCAGTCTGGATACTATGGTGCACCTGATCTAAGCCATAGTCTTCAAAATTTCTTGCTATGCATCAGAGAGCTGAACAATGACTAAGGATGATAGAGAATTGATGCCTTTGAGGTGTGGTGCTGGAGAAGAGTATTGACTATACCATGGATGGCTAGAAGAACAAACAGGTTCATCCCCTTGTTGTTGCTTTTCTTGTTGTTGTTATGTGCCATTGAGTTGCTTATGACTTATAGCGACACTATGTACAACAGTCCTAAACTCTGTTCTGTTCTGTGCCAGTCTCATTGTCTCCGACACACTCATCCCAATTACCCCAGTCACCGAATCAATCCATCTTCTAGAGGGCCTTCCTAGAGAGGGTTAAACCAAGCTGCTCCGAGGAGGTAATGATTCTGAAGCTTTGTCTGACATTTGGGCATGTTGCAAGGAGGGACTGGTCCTTGGAGAGGGATGTCATTATGCTTGAAAGGGTAGAGTGATGGAGAAAGGGAGACCATTGATGAGATAGATTGATACAGTTATTGGAGTAATAGAGATATGTGTCAGAGACAATAAAGTTTGCAGGATAGAGCAGGTTTTATGGCTGTTGTACATAGGGTCGCTATGAGTCCCAAGTGACTTGACAGCACATAATAACAACACCACAAATATAATTTCTTTTGTAGTACAGTTTATTTTATAGTACAGATTAGACCATGATGGTTAGAAGTGTTGGGAGCAGAGGAAGAATGACGTATTTCAAGGAGAAAATATAAATGGTTTTGAGAGAAATGTTATGCAAGCCATGAGTATTGTTTACTGTTGACCAATTGACTTTACCAGTTATTTGCTTTTCTTTGATTTAAAATATTGCTTTAAATTATATAATTAAAGATTAGTTTCCCTAAATGAAATTTCCTCCACAGTAGACACAACACACAAAATCACATTTTGTAGACAAAGTGTGTGATGTTATTCTACACTCTGATGATGACGCTGTGGCGTGTTGTCTGTGAGAGGAACATGCTTATACATCCACGTCTTCTCTTTCCCTTTAGCCCATGTGTAACCTTGACCTTTGAGAAATTCCACTCATTTGCCCACAAAATGAGATTTTTGAAGTAGATGAACTCCAAGCTAGTTTCTAGTTGTAAGATTGAATAATCGAATATTTCAGTTATCATATTTGAATGCCCCAAATATTTCAAGTTGAGCATGGTGACGTGGAACCTTTTAGAATCCTCTCTAATCTGTCTAGATTTGTTTTTATTTGAGTAACATGATCCTTTGTAAATATTTTATTCCAATTTTATATGAAAGAAAGAACAAATACTATCCAGGGCTTATTATAAAATTTTTGTCTTGAGGAAACCAAATGCAGAAGGTAGTCTTCTATTTTCCACTTATTTTTTTATATAAAGTACGTTCCTGTGGTGAAGCTGCTCTGTATATATCATTACTGATATTTCTATTAACTGTGTTGTCAAATTTTCCCCCTTCGAGGATTGGTTTCTGGTACTATAATTATTGGTACTCTGATTCTAGCTAGAATTATCTGGGACTATGGAAAAGCAGGGTGAGCAGAAATTCTGATCATTTGTTTTTTTAAAAAAATCAATTTTGTGTCTTTTCAGTAAAACAAGATAATATATAGTAGATAACTTTTCAGTGCTTTTGCATTTTAAACATTTTAAATATAGTTCTATAAAACGATGCATTACTAAAGTTATCCTTTTTTTAAGGAATAACTTAAGAGCTCTTGAATCATGGAGGGCAAACCTTTAAATTATAATCATAATGTGGGTCATAATTTTATAATTTAATTTGTCCCCAAAGCTGCATAAATCTTAGCAGGGATTTCCTTTTCACTTGGTAGCCTGTAGTGAACCAAGTACATTTTGAGATTCATGAACAGTTGCCTTTATACCTGAAAGTGGTGTCTCTATTTCAGGAGATAATAATCTCAATAATTCATATTTTTATTAAATTACACAGCTCTGTTGGTCTCTAATTTTCTGTTAAACCAGAATTACCTACTTGAGCTAATGACCAATGGCATTGGAATAGCCTTTTACTTTGGTCATCTGGATGCTCTGGATGGCTTTTGAATTTATATCTCAATTTATCCTTTATACGGAAATTGTGATCTTTCAGACATATTTGAAAATGGTAGCATTAATGCAAAGTGATGAGAGAAAGAGAATTCCCCAAATGTGTGAGGAGCCATGGTTTACTTTAGTGAGATAGATAAGGTCTTTCTAAGCCCTGGAGGGTTAGTGGTAAGGAGTTGTGCTCAGAGACACTTGGTTTGACTCCACCAGCAGCTATGAGGGAGAAAGACAGGCTTTCCTGTGCAATTTATTACCTCTGAAAACCTCTTGGAGGGTCAGCGGTGAGTGGGTTCCGAATTCACAGCAAACAACAGCAAGAGCAAGCTAGTATTACAGCATTAAAAAATCGCTTGGGCAAAATAGCACAAAAATTTACTCATGGAGGGAATTTCTGCTCTTAGAGTGCAGGGAGACATCTGAAAATTCTACTTGGGGCAGTGAGTATAGGAAAGCGTTTGGATCTGTTCTTAGAGTTGCTATGAATTGTACTTGACTGAATAGCACCTAATGGCAACATCTTGTTTACCTTCATGTCAGTGCTGACCCACAGCTGACTTTTCAGAAAGTTTTCAGAGGCAGTTCATGGCACAGGAGATTGCTGATTCTTCTCCTACAGAGCAGCTGGTGAATATGAGAAACACAGTTTCTTACCACTAGGCCAGCAGGCCATGGAATTATACAACTTAATTTTGCTGATTTGAAGCCCCGGGCATTTGCTTGTTGCATTAGCTTCACTTATTTCCTAGTAGCTCCTATCACTTGTCATGTGGTAAAGGAGTCTTGGACATTAGTTGTTAGGAGTGTTGGGAGCAGAGCAAGCAAGAGTGGTGAGGGGAAAGGATGAATAATTTTGAGAAGAAAGGTTGTGCTAGTTAACTGTTTATGGTTGAACAACTGTCTTAACCAACTATTTACTTTCCTTTGACTCAAAATAATGCTTTTAATTTTATAATTAACTATTTTCCTATGTGAAATTTCCTTTACAGTAGACAGAACACTTAGAAACATATTTCATAGGCAAAGTGTATGATGTTCTCCATGCTCTGATGATAATGCTGTGAATGGGAAAGCTTGCACATCTCTTCCCCTTCCTATGAGCCTATAAGCAACTGCGACTTTGTGATTCTACCCTTTGCTCACAAAATGAGACTGTTGAAGTAGAAGAATCCCAAGATAGCTTTCTAGTTGTAACATTGAATACTTCAGTTATTATATTTGAATGCCCCAAACATTTCTCATTAAGGATAGTGAAGTAGAAACATTTTAGAATCCTCTCAAATATGTGAAACATCCAGTGCTTATTTCAAATTGGTGATGTAAAGAAACTATATGCAGAAAGTAATCCATGTCTCCTCTTTTTCTTCCCATTACCTCATAGCCAGTATGTTTGCCACTGTGAAAGTGCCCTATATATGTCATTGGTCATGATTCTATTAACTCTGTTTCCACATTATTCCCCCCTCAAGGATTGGTGGCTGGTGCCATAATTATTGGTACCCTTATGCTAGCCAAAATTACCTGGGACTATAGACAATCTGGGTGACCAGAAATTCGGATGACTTTTTACTCTTAAATTACATTAGTTTTTCTTCTTTCCATTAAAACTTGATAATATATCCATAGAGAGCACTTTCAGCATTTTTGCCTTTTGGTATGATAGCTCTTAATTCCTTTTGTCTATAATTACTATTCAGGATAAATTCTATCACTTACACTGCCTCCTCTGCTCCTCTCTGCATATAGAACTTTCTCAGTATGAGTGAGGACACTGATAACATTTTGAAGGAAAGTCATTTGAAATTTAGCATCTTATAATCAGTACATCCTTTTTTCCTATTCTGTATCTCTGTGTAACACAGAAAGAAGGAAATCTAGAAATAATCAATTAATAGTATATTATTAATTGTGTCAATTCATTATTGTGATTAGATACCAATAATGCCACCTGACCGCTGGGTTGAGGAGTGGGGAAAAATGCTGTATTAGCTCTTTTCACCAGAAATGCCTTCCTAGTGACAGTTCGCATCATGAGATGACTGGCCTATGTGTTGTACTTCTTTTTTTTTTTTGCCTGGTGGCTTTTTAAGACTTGAGTACTTGTGACATCTGAAAATTTGTTTTAAGCATTGTTGAATAACGTCTGGTTTCTGTTGTTACACAAAGTTATTTCACAGGAATTGCGTCATGTAAGGGTGTCCTCACACTTTCTAAGTGCCTTTTTCTCTTCATCAGTATTTCCTCTAACCTACAGGTAGCATTCATTTCTTCATTGAGTTTGCAATGACTTTTAATCGGAAAATATTTTAATTTATTCTAATTGGGCTACTATTAAGCTCAAGAAACTAAAAACTCAGTTGGTGTTGCATTGGGGTTGCCATGGTTTCTAAGCTCTTCAGTTTTGCAATTGGATTTCAGACCCTATAATATACTAATTTTGCACTTGTTTTGCATCACAAGCTAATTCATTTCTTCTCTTATCACATATCAGCTCAAATATTACATTTCTCACAGAAGAATACAACCATTTGGACTTTTAACCTTTTTCCTTTTTTTTTTTAACTTTCAGGATATACATGTAAAACATTGACAGTTTTGCTTATGACAGTAACTCTTGGCTACCTGATTTAGCCAAAGGAGAGGTAAGAAGAAATTGCACACAAATCCACAGGATAGGTCTAGGGTTTTTAGAACATTCTGGAAGAACGGTGACAATTTTGGTAGCATTCTGTATTTTGCCTGATATTTTCTTTGAGACTCTCGGGGATGTCAGCAAAACAAGGCAAGAAGAGTTCATCCTGGGATCACATCCTCATGAATCCTAATCCTCGTGAGAACAAAACTGTGCTGAACAGGAAAATCAAAATTAAAGCATCAATTGGACACTGAGAAGAAAGAAATACATTAATTAGCTACTGTAAACAGACTAAAAATTGAAAATTTTAAGCAATCTCTTCTAAGCAAAATTGCCAAAGAGCTGAACCACATTCTAAAATAACCCTTGATTCTAAGGCTTTTTTTCTTCTTTCCTTGGCCAATTAAAATGAGTTGGCAAAATATTTTACAGCTAAAATATGTTAGTAACTCAGGACTGTTGATTTTCTTGGGTTAGTTGGTGGCAAAGGAAGAGTATGCTATGAAAAAAATAAGCCTTCCTTTGTTACACAAATACAGATAAGAAACCAGGACTTAGCCGGCTAGTTGTAAGAGCAACTGTACTTTTATTCTTGGGCTAGTCTTTTTTTCTTTTTTTTACAGAGCCCTATGAAAGGACTCTTCCTTGACTTAATAACTTTTAAAGTACCCAGAGATATTCTAATAATAACAATATAAAACAGTCTGTATTTCTGAAGTGAGATGTTCATAGCCAAATTATAAATCTTGCTGTTTTGTAATATTGAGATTAATTTATTTATATTTATTTACATCAGTGAACACATTCGTTTTACATGTAAAACAAGAATGTTTACATATTCAAGGAACTATGTGAAGAAAATTTTCCCTAAATAGAAGTAAATGATCAAATTTTTGTCTCACGTAGTGTTTGAAATTAATTTTATGTGAATAAATTATGTGAATGTGAATAAATTCTCCCTAAATAAGCAGTTTCCTGCTTCCCCAAGAAATGTGTTAGAACGCTGCCTTTTGGTTAACATATTGTGAAACATTTTGCTTCTTTTAATTATATTGGGTTATACTTTGTCTTTATATCTCATAAACCACTCATATTAAAATATTAATATTATTTACTTAATATAGATTTACCTAAAATCTATTACATTCATTTTTAGATTCTGAATATATTCTTGTCTATGTGTTCAACTAGAATATATGCAGGCCGAGGTGGGAAAATAAATATTTTGCCATGTTGCTTCATCTGCTTTTTTTCCTTACTGAAGTATTTTAAAATAATCTCATATGCATTGGCATTTCATTATAAATACTTCAATGTGCATTTCTAACAAGAAGGCATTATTTTTCTTCTTAACCACAGCTATCACTAATGAGTAATACTTGTATACTAATTATATTCAAATATTAGAAAATTATTTTAACTCTCCTAAAAATGTATGGATATGACTCATATGCACCTGTTTATTCATTCATTTGATGGATATGAGGGCCAGCTCTGTCTAATCTGTGACAATCTGAGGCTTCCTTGTATTGAAAAGATTACTAGTTCCTTTTTTTTTACAGAAATATAGGAGAGCCACCTGTGTTCAAGTGTTCTAGGTTCTGGGGTTTCCAAGATGACTGCAAGACAAGATCTGCCCTCTCATTGTCTATGATCTACCAAGGAAGTCCAAGATAATACATTCACATTGAAAAAGGATGCAGAATCCCCCTTTTAACCATATACACAGAATATCGTGGATAATGAAATTGTGTTTGCTGAGTGCATCAGTGGGTGAGAGGGAGGTGTTTAAACTGGATGTCCACTGAGAAAGGGACAAAGAAATGTTATTAGCAGAACTGAAACTTACAAATAAGGCAGCCTGCTAAAGTAGTGATGACCTGAGGAGAGGCATAAAGGGTAAAGTGTTCCGAATAAAGCAACAATAATCAACTCTAAAATCTTACCCCACCTTGATTATACCATGACTTAAAGTAAGTGTCCACAGTTTACAACAGCAACAGTCTGTCATTTCACTAAACCCTGTACAGCTTCTTAGCAACATTCCAAACCTCTTAATACGTTGTCCAAGAATCCAACCTGCTTGTTGTTTGTGGAAGGTGAGCATTCCACCACCATATCATTACTACTCCCCGAGGTGCTGTATTCTGTCATCCAGTCAATTACAACCAACTCAACAGTCAACTATGACCCATTTAACCTTGTCCTGTCCTGTGCCACTGTCATCATCACTGATATGCTCAAGACGTTGTACAGGCAGATAAATGTCAACCTGGAGTTCAGGAGATGAGAAGAAGTATCTCTGTTTGAGAGATATATTTGGGCACTTATGAGTAGGAGAACATACGTCAAGGAAGCTGAGTGAAGGAATACATGAGTATTTACATGATGGGGGTTGCCTTAGGCTGGGTTCTCTAGAGAAGATGATCCACTGAAGCCTTTAGCTAGCTAGGCAGATAGATACATAGATACATGTATACCTAGAAAGACAGATAGATGCAGATATATGTGTGTATGAAGAGAGAGATTTATCTCAAGAAAAGAGCTCACATGGTTGTAGAATCAGGCAAGTCCCAAGACTATGTGTGGGTCTGGGTCAGTTTGCCTGACTCAGGTAACTGTAGGACTTGATAAACTCGGATTACCAGTTAACAAGCCAGTTTCTGGTCTGAAGAATCAGATAATGGCATGTTAGAGCAAAAACCAGAGAGCTTTGCTAGAATGTGCCCAGGTGCAAATGGTTCTCATAGTTTATCTGATCCTGGAGGTGATTACATTGTATTAGATTTCATCATAGGGAGTGACCACAGCCAAACTGTCACACCAGAGCATCATGGTCCAGCCAAACTGATGCACAAACTCCACCATAACAGAATCATTCACAACCTTGACAAAAGCTACCTCAGGAGAGCGGTTGTGGGAAGAAGTTGAAATGGAAAGGCTCCACCAGAGACTGGGAGTGGAAAATTTGGAGATAACCAGGAAAGGTGAATATAAACATCTTTTCTGAGACGATGTCCAAAAAGACAGGGTCGAGAAATAGGAGGATAGCTAGAGGGCAATGTGGAAAGACAAGGAGAAAACTAGATTGTGTGCTGACGTGTATAATTCTGAAAGGAAAATTTTTTTAAAAAAGAATGTCCCCAAACCCAAGTATTGTAAGAACCCATACCTTTGATCTGTATTGTAAAAACCTATACCTTTGATCTGTATTGTAAGAACCTATACCTTTGATCTTGTGTGAATGTTTGTGTTCCAGGAACTAGCTGACCACAAACTGAAAAAACAATTACTGGCAAAAACCATACTTTAACTAACGACAGCAGCACGCAACTGACTTAAATTAGAACTTCTCCTTTTCCAAAGAGCCAATGAGCTATTTCTATGCCAAAGAACCCCTAGACCTAGTATAAATTCCCTTGCTTTTTGGGGCTCAGGGTCGACCTCCCTGTTTCCTGTGTGAGATATAAGTCGTCCCGAAGCTTCGTCAATAAAAGCCTCTTGTGATTACAGCAAGTGGATCTGGTGTGAGTTGCTCAGGGTCACGCCCGTTCTGGGTAAAGCCCTAGTTTGGGGTCTTTCAATGCAAAGAAAGAGAAGGGAGAACTTGCAGAGTGAAGTTCTTGAGAAGGTGAGAGATTCCATCCTGAGAAGCAGTGCACACAGACTGACAGGATGAAATAGTACTCCGTCCGTCTATCAGCCCTAGGGAAAACGCTGATTCTGCATTATTTATATCGATGTGACATAGATGAAGAGTTTGGCCAAAGGCCTATGTATGAGCTTTCAGGCCTAACCATAGGCTTCAGGGAGGAAGCTGCTTCCCCACACCAGACCTGGTGTGCAGTACCTGAAGGGAGTCCCACAAAGGCTCAGCACTGACGCTATCAGGCAAGTTCTCTCAGGAACACTCTTCACCCAAACTCATCCATAACCAGGGCTCTGTATCACATCTTCCTCAGGCACCTCTGCGGAAACGTCTTCACGATGGAAGGAGGAGAACTTTGAAGGCATTTTTCTCTACTCCAATTTGGTGCTTTTATACTCCTGGCTCTTTCTCCTCAACTGCTCCTGGCCTCTGAAGTTCATAAAATTACTAGGCCCTTAAAAATGACCCTTCACTCCATGTTTACACCGATCCACCTGATCCTCTTCTGGGCACTGTTGCTGAAGAAAAATAGAAAGGGTGAGCCAGGAGCCATTCTCTGGCATCACCTTGCTTGTACCTCATTGTAAGTGATCAAAGATTTGTTGATTTTCAAAGACTCTTGATTTTATTTCTTATTTCATGGGTTTCTCAGACACCTGATAGTTCAGTTCAGCCCCTCTGGCAATAGGTTTTCTATCTGTAAAATGTTGATAGTACAGGCACACTTTGGACATGTTGAGGGTTTGATTCTAGATCATCACAAAAACCTAATATTGCAATAAAGTGAGTCACACCAGTGACTACATAGAAACTGAACTCCATGGGGAGTTTGCTAACTCAAAGACTGCATCTCTCTGGGTTCAAATCCTCCAGTGGCTCTGTGGGAGAAAGATAGGAAGTCTCCTCCTGTTTGATTTGTTGTTGTGATGTGCCATTGAGTCGCCTGTGACTCATAGTGACCCTATGTAAATACCTCCGAACCAGGCCCTATACTGAGCCAGTCTCACTGACTCCACCTAATCTCATTGTTCTAGTTATCATGTCAGTCCATCTCATCCAGGATTTTCCTCTCCTTCTCTGTCCCTCCACCCTTCCAAGCATGATGCCCTTCTCCAAGGACTGGTCCCTCCTGGACACATGCCCAAAGTATACGAGCCAGGGAAGACGACATTCAGATGGCTAACAAGCACATGAAGAAATGCTCAAAATCCCTAACCCTAAGAGAGATGCAAATCAAAACAACTATGAGATATCATCTCACCCCAGTCAAAATAGCAAAATTTAACAGAACAGCAAGCAACAAATG